TTTAATGTCCTCATTTCTGCTTCTTGCTTTCATAGCTGCCTGACAGATTTCAAGATGCCAGTGTGTTGGTTGTTATGCTATACCTTAGGCTTTAATTTAATTTTAGACCTGTTTTGTTTTTAAACTCTTTCCTTCTCTGCTGCCCTGTCCTGCCTTTTACCGTATTAAAAAACAAAACAAAAAACAAACAAACAAAAAAAACCGTTCAGGGCTTTTGCTTGTGCTGAGTATCTGTGAGCATGCGTGGCAGAAGTTCCCACCAGTGGTGAGGGTAGGGGTGTCCACTAGCTCAGATTCCCCATCTAGTCACCAAAACGGAGGTGCACAAACAGTGGGCTCACCAATGACCAGATACCAAAGAAAAAAAAAAAATCAGAACTGAGTAAAACTGATAAAGTGCATTGTCCCCCTTGCTCCAAGGTTCCCACAGTGTTTTTCTGTGGTGTTTCTACTCCTCCCGCTTGGTCTTGTCATTTGGTTTCATCCAAGATGTTGGCTCCGGGCCTCCGAGGCCAGCCGATTTAAAAGTACGGGATTTCTTACTTCAGCTTCAAGTTCCACAAACTATAAGCTTTCAGACTTTTAAAATATTCCTATCTCTGTGGTTCCGAGTTTTGGAGCTCTGCCCTGGATCTACTTTGCCTGGTATTCTGTGGTATTGCTAATGGTGAACTTCACTGCACATCCACCCTAGCCGCCATCAAGCCCCGCCCTCAAGCCGTGGTATTTTCAATAACCTTATATGCATGCGAAAGCTGGACAATAAATAAGGAAGACTGAACATGATATCTTTTTCCAGTGACTGGTCCCTCCTGACAGTATGTCTGAAGTATAAGAGACGAAGTTTGGCCATCTTGGCCTTCAAGGAGCATTCTGGCTGCACTTCTTCCAAAATGGATCTGTTGGTTCTTTTGGCAGCGTATGGCACTTTCAATATTCTCGTCCAACACTATAACTCAAAAGCGTCAATTCTTCTATGATCTTCAATCGAACCTTATTTGATTTCTTGACTGCTGTCTTCCTAGTCTTTCTTCATCTGGAAGGTCATCTGAAACCTGTCAACCATGGGTGACCCTGCTGGTATTTAAAATACTGGTGGCAAAGCTTTTAGAATCACAGCAACTCACAAGCCACCACAGTACAACAAACTGACAGATGAGTGGTTGTCTGACTCATAGCACCCTATATAGGGCTTCCAAGGAGCAGCTGGTAAGTTTTAACTGCTGATCCTACAGTTCAAACTGACCTGTGGTCCAGTGCATCAACCTACTGCGCCACACCAGGATTCCCTTCATTTATTGTGCACTTTCTCTTGTCCAGGCTCCAAGTGAAGTGCTTAGTTATATTAAATTGTTCACTCCTCATTGACAACTTTTATATTAGCAGCCAGGTGCTTAACCGCTGTGCCACCAGTATTCCTCCTTTAACAACTCCATATGGACATCAAGTGATAAAGAGGTCAAGTAACTTGCGTGAGATAGTACAGCCAGCAAGGGCAAGCTGAGATGTATGGGTCTGGTTTATTTTAAAGCCCATTATTCATAATGTTTGCCTAAAATGCCTCCATTTTTTGGGTGACAACATTTGAAAAAAAATCATTTTCAGTGAGAATTGCACATACTGCTTTCCCTTGTCATTTTTGAAATACCATTTTAAAACTAAGAATGTTTACTTACATGTGAATTTTGAAAGGTGTAGCATCATTAATTAATTTAATGTTGGATGTTGTCTATATTGGAGGAGCTGTAGTAGCATAGTGGTTACAAATTGGGCTGTGAACCACAAGTTCAGCAGTTTGAAACCACCAGCTGCTCCGTGGGAGAAAGATGAGGCTCTCTGCTCCCGTAAAGATTTATAGCCTTGGAAACCCTGTTCAGGGTCACTATGGGTCAGAACAGACTCGACGGCACTTAACAACAGCATTGTCTGTATTTATAAAAAGGAACCATGGTGGGTCAGTACAGGACAGAGATTTACAGACTTGAAAATTCGATGGCCAGTTCTACTCTATCCCCCGGGGTCACTATGAATTGAAACCTACTCAATGGCAATAGATTTGGTATTTTTGGATTTATGTTTACAAAACATTTAACCCACCAAAAATTTTGTGAAGGAATTTTTAGTATCTTCATTTGTAAAATAAGAACCAAAGATTCATAGAAATTTAGTGGCAGAGATAATAATTGGTAGAGATTGAAGTAGAATTGATTCCAAACCAATGTATTGTTTTCACCATGTTGTTGTTGTTAAGTGTCATCAAGTAGATTTCTACTCATAGGGACACTGTATAGGATTTCCAGGGAGTAGTTGGGGGGTTTGAACTGCCAACCTTGTGATTAGAAGTCTAGTGCTTATCCTACAACACCATGCTATAGTCCATTATTTTTCAAAATCCTGACTTGTGTTTTATGTAAAATGTTTTTAGAAAGCAAATTAAGCATATCAAGTACCTATTTTATTTTTCAGATTTTTGCCATTTTCTACCTACCATAAAAACAAAGAAAAGTACAGGCCCTCAGTGCATTCCTCAAGCAAGTATGGCGCTGCATCTTATGGGCACCAACATTTCCGAGATGAAAACCCTCAAAAGTGGGTCAATTCCAAGGTGAGATAAAGCAGTATTTAAAAATGACATTCCTTTGAAAATGCTAAAAATCAATTGATTATAGCAAATGCAAGTATTCACATTATGATTAAGATCTTCATGCTTACAAAATTATTTATAGCTATTTTGTATAAAGATGATGCTGTTTGTCTATGCCAGTAGAACTTTTTTTTGTTTGTTTGTTATTTTAGTGTTATGTTCTTATGCTTCTAACGTAATGGTATGGATTCAAGCTAGCCAGTCAGGACTTGAATCTGTGGTCACTGAATGGTGTTAAGGAAACTAAGTCTCAGGCTTGGATATCAGTGCTTGCATTTACTTTCTCTGTGTACGTGTGTTATATATTACAAACACAAGTGTAACATATTGTTGTATTATATATGTGTGTGCACTTGTGTGTGTCATATAAACTAAAACCAAAACCTACTGTTGTCAAGTTGATTCTGAGACATAGAATCCTATAGGACAGAGTAGAGCTGTTCTATAGGGTTTTCAAAGTAGTAAATATTTATGGAAGCCGACTGTCTCATCTTTCTCCCCTGGATGGGCTGGTGGCTCCAGACTTAACTCACTGTGCCACCAGTGTCCCTTGTGTATCATGTAGACATATTAATGTATGTATGTTACACACATTTATTTGTATATATGAATTCATATGCTCATATTTATATGTTGTATAAGGAGCTCTGGTAACATAGTGGTTACAAATTGGGTTGCGAACCTTAAGGTCAGCAGTTCGAAACTACCAGCCGCTCCGCGGGAGAAAGATGAGGCTTTCTACTCCCGTAAAGATTTACACCCTCGGAAACCCTGTACAGGGTCGCTATGGGTCGGAACCGACTCGACGGCACTTAACAACAACAACATGCAACAATAAACCATTTCTGGAGGCAGTATATGATCAAGAGCCAATGGTACTGATAGAAAAAGTCCAAGATACACTGAAGGCATTGACAAAGAACACGACTGAACTTTGATGGAATTGAAATCTTTGAACAAACTGATGCTGTCCTGGTGGCACTCACTATCTATGCCAAGAAATTTGGAAGACAGCTTCCTGGCCACTTGATTGGAAATGATTCATATCTGTGCCCCTTTCAAAGAGCAGTGACCCAATGGAATATGGAAATCATTGGACAACATCGTTAATATCATATGTAAGTAAAATTTTGCTAAAGATAATTAAATAATGTCTGCAATAGTACATTGACAGGGAACTGCCAGAGTTTCAAGCCAGATTCAATGAAGGATATCATTGTTGATGTCAGATGGATCTTGACTGAAATCAGAGAATACCACAAAGGTGTTTACCTGTACTTTATTGACTGTGCAAAAGCTTTTTACTGTGTGGATCATTGCAAGCTATCGACAACACTGAGGAAAATGAGTATTCTGGAACACTTAACTGTGCTCATAAAGAACCTGTATATAGAACAGTACAAGGGAACACTGAATGGTTTAAAATTAGGAAAGGTGTGTACAAAGGTTATGTTCTTTATTTATTCAGTCTGTAGGCTGAGCAAATAATCTGAGAAGCTGGATTATATGAAGAAGAATGTGGCATCAGTATTGGAGGAAGATCCATTAACAATCTATGACATGCACATGTTACAACATTGCTTGCTGACAGCGAGGAAGACTTAAAAATACTTACTCATGAATCAAAGACCACAGCCATAAGTATGGATTGCACCTCAATGTAAAGAAAACAAAAATCCTCACAACTGGATCAATCAATAACATCACGATCAATGCTTCTAAGGAATATTCCAGCTGTATTTATTCCAAGACAGATTTGTTCATTCTTTTAGAAAGCATGATGCATTCAATATTCTTCACTAATACCATAATTCAAAGAGATCCAATTCTTCTTTGGTCTTGTTTGTACAACTTTCACATGCATATGAGGTGATTGAAAATACCGTGGCTTCCATCAGGCATGCCTGAGTCTTCAAAATGACATCATTGCTTTTTAGTACTTTAGAAAGGTTGTTTACAACAGATTTGCCCAATACAACACATTATTTGACACAGTGACTTGTTTTCCTATGTGATGATTGTGGTTCCAAGTAAAATGAAATCCTTGACAACTTCAGTATTTTCTCTATTTATCATGATGTTGTTTGTCCAGTTATGAACATTTTTGTTGTCTTTATGTTAAGGTGTAATCTTTATCAGCAAGTGCTTCAAGTCCTGTCTACTTTTAGCAAGCAAGGTTGTGTCATCTGCATATTACATGTTGTTAGTGAGTCTTCCTCCAATCCTGTTGCTGCTTTCTTGTTCATGTAGTCCAGCTTCTCAGGTCATTTGCTTAGCTTGCATATTGTGAAAGCATAGATTTTTCTGGATATTGAATCATATAACATTCCCTTTTTTCTGTCTGAATGATGGCCTTACAGGTTCCATGTGTGCACAATTAAGCGTTCTGGATTCTTGTTCTTTTCAATGTTATCCATAATTTGTTATGCTCTATGAAGTCGAATGCCTTTCAGAGTCAATGAAACACAGGTAAACATCTTTAGCCTTTTCTCTGTTTTTAACAGGGATCCATTTGACACTGGCAATGACAGCTCTCACTCCATACCCTCTTCTAAATCCTGCTAGAATTTCTGGCAGGTCCTTTTTGGAGTACTGTTGCAAACAGTTTTTAATTATCATCAGCAAACTTTTCTTGAATAGGGTATAAATATTGTGAAATAATTTCTGCATTTTTGTGAGTCACATTTCTTTGGAATGTGCACAAATATGGATAATTTCTGGTTGACCAGGTATCTGTTTTTAAGATTTCTTAGCAAAGGTGAATGTTTCCACATTGCATCCATTTGTTTATATTCAATTCCTGAAGATTTTTTCACCGATGTTTTCACTGCAACTTAGACTTCTTCCTTCAATATCATTTACTTTTGGTCAACACTATCTCCTAAAATGGCTGGCTCTCAACCAATCTTTTTGGGACAGTAACTCTGTATTCTTTTCATCTTCCTTTGATCCATCCTACATCATTCAGTCAACATCTTGCTCATAAAATTCTTCAATATTGCAATTCAAGACTTAATTTTTTTCTTCAGTTCTTTCAGCTTGAAAACTGACAAGTGTATTTTTCCCATTTTGTTTTCTAACTTCAGAACTTTGCACATTTCATTGTAACACTTCATTTTGTCTTTTTCACCCACCCTTTAAAAACTTCTGGTTAGCTCTTTTCATCATCATTTCTTTCATTTACTTTAGCTCCACTATGTTCAAGAGCATGTTTCAGAGTCTCTTCTGACATCCATTTTGATCTTTTCTTTCTCCCCTGTTTTTAATGACCTTTTGCTTTCCTGATATATGATGTTTTTTATATCATCCCACAACTCTTCTGGTCTTCAGTCACTCATGTCCACTGCATTAAATCGGTTCTTCAGATAGTCTCTAAATTCAGAAGGAATATAACAAGACCATATTTTGGTTCTTGTGGAGTTGCTTTAATTTTCTTCAGCTTCAGTCTGAACTCACATGTGAGCAGTAGATCATCTCATCAATAGTCAGCTCCTAGCCTAGTTTTGAGTAGGGTGAGTTTCTCCATCACCTCTTTCCATGTTGTTGTTGCTATTGGGTATCATCGAGTTGTTTGTGACTCACAGCGACTATATGCCCAACAGAAGGAAACACTGACCAGTCCTGTGCCATCCTCATAATTATTGTTATATTTGAGCCCATGGTTGCTGCCACTGTGTCAATTCATCTCATTGGGGGTCTTCCTTTCTTTAGTTGACCCTCCACTTTTCCAAGCTTGATGTCATTTTCAAATGTCTGGTCCCTCCTGACAACATGTCCAAAGTACAAGTGACGAAAGTCCCACCATCCTTGCTTGTAAGGAGCATTCTGGCTATACTTCTTCCAACACAGTTCTTCTAGCAGACCATAGTACTTACAATATTCTTTGTCAGCACCATAATTCAAATGCTTCCCTTCTTTTATTGTGCTCCTTATTCACTGTCCAACTTTCACATGCATACGGTGCTATTGAAAATTCCATGACTTGGATCAGGTGCACCCTAGTCTTCAAACTAACATCTTTGCTCTTGAACACTTTAGAGAGGTCTTGTGCAGCAGATTTGCCAAATGCAATAAGCCGTTTGATTTCTTGACTGTTGCTTCCCTGAGCAATGATTGCATTCCAAGCAAAATGAAGTCTTTGACAGCTTCAATCTCTTCTCCATTTATCATGATATTATTTATTGATTTAGTTGTTAGGATCTTTGTTTTCTTTACTTTGAGGTGCAATCCATAATGAAGGCTGTAATCTTTGATCTTCATCAGTAAGTATTTCAAGTCCTCTTGGCTTCCAACAAGTAAGGTTGCATCATCTGTGTATTGATGGTTTTTAATGTGTCTTCCTCCAATCCTGATGTCATGTTCTTCAACACATAATCCATTTTCTTGGATTATTTATTCAGCCATATACCTTTCCTGATTTTAAACCATTCAGTATCCCCTTGTTGTCTTTGAAAAACTGTTTCTTGGTCTATGTACAGGTTCCTCATGAGCATAATTATGCATTCTGGAATCACCATTCTTCACAATATTATCCATATTTTGTTATCATTTCCCTAATTCAAATGCCACAACATAGTCAGTAATTACAAATAAGCATCTTTGTGGTATTCCTGCTTTCAGCCAAGGTCCATCTGACATCAGCAGTGATATCCCTAGGTCCACGTCATCTTTGTATTTGCTTTGAATTTCTGGCAGCGCCCTGTGGATGTACTGCTGCAACCATTTTTAAAAATTTTTTCAGCAAAATTCTTTATGGTTTCCACATTCTATTGGGTTTCCTTTCTTGGGAGTGGGTACAGATATGGATCTCTTCCAGTCAGTTGGCCAGGTAGCTATCTCCTAATTTCTTGGCATAGATGAGTGAATGCCTCCAGCACTGTATCAGTTTGCTGAAACATTTCAATTTGTGTTCTGTAACATCCTGTAGCCTTGTTTTTCAACAATGTCTTCAGTACAGCTTGGACTTCTTCCTTCGGTACCTTTGGTTCTTGATCTTATGCTACTTCTTGAAATGGTTGAACATTGACCAATTCTTTTTGGTACAGTGACTCTGTTTATTTCTTCCATCTTCTTCTGATTTGGGTCCCTCAATATTCTGCCCATAGAACTGCAAGTCTAGGCTCAATTTTTTTCTTCCGTTCTTTCAACCTGAGAAATGCTGAATGTGTTCTTCCCTTTC